ACTGTTCTACTCTTGACTTGTTACTGAGCCCTTTTGCAAAACATGTTGCTAATTTCAACAGTCCTTTGTAAAGCCAGTAACAAAAAAAATAACTCCTCCTCCCATTCTTTCCCAGCTCCTATACCAGTTTTCACATCAGTGTTTTGAGGGTAAGAGAAACAGAGTCTATAAGAGTCTTCCTTCTCACCTTTCTGGGACCTACTCACTAAGTCCATAAAATTCCTTTCATTTATCTTTTTTAAAAATTTTAAAATTTATTTCTTATACGAGATCAAGAGACAGAGGCAGAGAAAGAGGGAGAGAAAGACAAGCACCTCCATCCCACCCAGCCCAGATGGAGAACATACGTGTGTCCATAGTACTCAGGGATATCCCTGGATAAGAACCCAGGACCGTTCTCATGTAGGTCTTACCTTTGCACCACCATCTGGCCCCCACAGAGTTCCTTTGCATCTCCAAATTCAGGCCATTTCCTAAAGAGAAGGAAGGCTTATCCAGTAAGTGCCCCACCCGGCCCCACAGTCATTCCGAGGAAGAAGTCCAGCTTGGACAGCCTGGGATCCAAAACCTGTTTTGTTCCTATCCCCACAGTTCAATAGTTAGGAACTGCCTATGGCATTCCACCACTTACCCATTTGATTGTGTCAGTTACAGGGAAAGCGGTGGAACTTGCGGAAGCTCCCTGATCTAGGGAAATACAGTTTCAGTCCTGATTTTTGCAACCCTCTAGGCCTAAGTAGAACTCGGCCATCAGCAAGATGTTCATTTAGGTCTCAGGTAGGTTCTGCAGCTCTAGCCACAATTGTGATTAATTTATCACGAAGATGGATAATTCTCTATTTCCCGCTAGACTGTAGGTGTGTTGAAGTCAAGACTGATAACTCATCCACTGCTCCCTGGCAAAGGGACCTGCCCTGCAAACCCAGACAGCTCTCCTCCTCCCAGACTCCTCCCCAGGTCCTCCTGTGCCTCAGGACCTTTGAAGTGCCTCTCTTTCTTGTCTGGAGGGCTCTGTCCCTGAAATCCACGTTTCCCAAAACCCACAAGGGGATATTAACGTTTCCCCCTGCCTGCTGTGCTTTCACTCCTTAGCACTCTCACGATTCCACATTCTCTATGTTCTGCATGTTTTCTCGTGTGTCTCCCCCACTAGCATGTTACTGCTGAGGTCGTGAGGATTTGTGTTGTGTTAAATGCTGTGTCTTTAGCATGTGGAACAAAACATGAAACAGTAAGCCTCTTAATAGAGCATCTGACATACACATGAATGAATGGCCATGTTGTTAAGCTGCTGTGGATGTAAGTGAAACTCTATTGAGAGTCCTTAGAATTACCATCTTGACCCCACAGTGGGGTCCCATGCCAGATACTCAAACATAGCTGGCGTACCTTGGGCCCCTCAAGCAGTACACGACAGATTATTGGATAAAATAGGAACTTGCAGTGGCCCCTGGAAATGTGAATACTGTCCCAAGGCTTGGAATTAGTAATGATTTCATCTCTTAAAACCCTATCACATACTTTTTGGAAGTTTATTTCAAAAGTACATTCTTAGCACATTTGATGTGTTTTTGGAATACAAACTTGTTTTCTTATGGAACTCTGTATGTTCTGCACTCTATGTATTAAGCAGCAAATTAAGATCTTTAGGAATGTATTTTGGTACCAAGAAATGTATTCAACTTCCTTTTTTTGTCTTCTGCATCTGTAGTCTTCCAGAGGTGCTTTAACTTTTGTGCCTATTGTTTCAGTGGGTCTAGAGCCCCTTCTGCCTAAAGCCAGGGACTTGTACATCAGGCTCTGCTTCTCTTTTTTCTCCAAAAAAAAAAAAAAAAAAAAAAAAAAAAAAAAAAAAAAAAAAAAAAAATTAGTTACCTAGTTTTCTCGTATTAGAACAAATTTGGAAATGAAAAAATAAAGTCCAAGCCTAGAAGGCAAAAAATGGAAACATAAGATTAGGCTTTTAAGACAAACGAAAAGCTAGATGGCTCGCTCCTGGAAAGCGAGAGGAGATGGAGTTGCAGGATATCTGAATGAAGGTAACTACAGTTTCCCATGTGGGAGTGAATACACTGAAAACAAGCTAACACATTATGCAGCGCTGCTATGGAATGCTGTGATATTTATTTCCCATTCTTTTAGGAATTAAAGTTTTTAATAGGCAAGCATCAAGATAGCTATTATGGAGCCAGTAGGTGGCATGGTGACTAAGGCACTGGACTCCCATATGGCCCACTGCAGTTCAAGTCTCAGACCTGGCAGCATGAAAATTATGCCAGGCAAATATGCATGCATGCTCAAGATCCTGAGAGGAGAATGGAGGAGAAGGGATTGCAGTGTGGCCATCCCTTCTGGTGGGTGATTTCTCACTTTCCCTCTGTCTCTCTCTGGCAAAAACATACACCCTATGACAAAAACCTAAAGAAAAAAACAAAAGCGATAGCTATTACTGTTTCTCATTAAAATTTTTGAAATTAAAAATTAATTTCTCGCAACACTTACGTCAATATGTATAAGCTCATAAATAAAACTACAGGTAATAAATCTTCAGTCTATATTTCATGCATTTGAAGTTTGTGCAATATAATATTTTTCTACTGCTCTTTATGTGAGATAAGCAACAATTCCATAAACACACTTTTCATTTTTTTTCTTTCATTCCTGAAAGTGCTAATTAGGCCCTTTTTAAAGTACTCTTGTGTTTTGAATTACTTTTCATTAGAATCATCCTACAAAAATTCTCCTGATAAAGGAGGATTTCCCTGTTGCCACTACCCCAAACTGCTTTAGTCAAATCACTGTGAAGTGAGGTCCCTATCTGCAGGGAAGAGCTTGACGCTGTTGACACTTAATTAGAGCAAACCTAAGCAAGATATTGAACAGTAATACTTCAAATGTGAGCGTCTGCCTGAGAACAAAAGGGCTTAAACAGAGCTGGCAGGAGAAAACAAATACAGGATGTAGAGGAACAATCGCCCTGATGGGTCCCTGGCAGCAGTTGAAGATAACCGGCTTCTCTGGAATGGAGATTTAGAACTAAATTAGTTTGAGAAAAGCATCTTAACACCCTGCTTTCCCAAGGAACTCTTCCTGCCCTTAACCAGGTAATTTTAGGTCAGCTTTGCTTTTCTTGGATTAAATTCTTTTTAATGTATTGCTCTTCTAATTCCTGAACTTCTTCCCCTTTTTCTGTTTGTTTGTTTTTGTTTTGTTTTGTTTTGTTTTGTTTTTCTTCTCAGGAAGAGAATCTCTCCATGGCACTGTGGCCTTTTCTTTTTTTTCCTTTTTTTTTTTTTCTCCTACCCACAAACACCATAAAACAGTTTACCAACAATAACAATCTCAATTCTAGTTACATATCAGAATTATCTACTTGTGATTGAGTAGCTTTTAAACCTAGAACAAGTACGTTGTCGAGAACAAAAGCAACTGTCGTTCATTTTCTTAAAATAAGATGAAATGAGTAACTCCGAGACATTCTGAACTGCGTTTTCCAAGAATGGCCTGTTTCTAACATGTTGAATCCACCGTCGGCCTGTGAGGGCTCCTAGACTTGCTTTTCCTTTTTTCTTATCTGAGGTTATAGACCTCAGGAGAGCAGGGGCAGGTTACAAGGTCAAAGTCTTTTCCTCCTTGGAACTTGCTGCTTGCTGGGAGAGAGCCGCCTGGAAAATAGATGCTTTGGAGAAGAGGTTGGGGGGTCACGATTTTAATTCTGTTAAAGAACAGCTGGTTTGAGTTTCTTTTCACTTCTATCTCCTGCTCCCTTCCTCACAAATCCATGGAGAGAGAAGAATTTGTTCAGAAGGAACCGGCAACATAAAAATATACCTCCTTTAACTGCAGTGTTTTCCATATATCATCTTGGTTACAAAATGGAATGCCCAGTGCTATGGAGATAGGCTGGCCTGTGTCAAATGAACTCTATCTGAAACATGACCAGAGCTTTAGACAGAAGAACCTTTCAAAATACAGGATGTGCGCCTGGCAATTTCTTTTAATAATAATTTTTAGCTGAAACTTAAATGGAAATAAGTATAATAAAGGCCTCTGGAGGTATTTAGAGCTTGACTACAGAGAGAGCAACATGACTGAAATATGAAAGCATGCCAGATGTGTTTTCCTTGTTTCTGGACTGGAGACCTCTTCTATCTCCAAATTAGTATGTTTTCGTTTGTTCAACAAATGTTTATCATGTGCCTGTTCTTTGCACAACTGTCCTAAGGGGTGGGATACAGCAGGGAGATGTGTGGATGCTCCTTTGCAAACAGGTGCATAAACATTAACTCGGTTCAATGGAGCTTTAGTCCACAATTGGAATGACAGTTAAAAAGTTTAAAAAAAAAATACACGTGGTTTGATCATTTTTATTTAGGTTTTCAAGTCTTCTATGCTTTTTTTGTCCTTAGCACTCACGTACACACATGCATGTGTACACACACACACACACACACACAAAGAACAGAACTCACATCTCTCAAATACATGGCAAACCAGTAACAGATTTTTCGTCTGGGCTCCTCAGTACTCTGGCCTCAGGCTGTGTTGGTGTGTGGCTCGACAGCAATCAGAGGTCATAATTTCATTGGCAGTTAGCATCAGGTTTAATTTTTCTAGCATGTTACATTTACCAAAATGTCTGGTTTCAGTTATGCTCAGGCACTGACTGAATCAGCTCTGAGCAGCATGATGTCTTTAGGTACCTGAGGTTTATGGAACACATATGCTAATTGTTTTCAGTCACTTTCCTTTCTGAACACAAAAATGTGTTTTCTGAAGTTGAATAACAGTAGTTGTTAATGACATTGCTTATTTCTTATAGTAAAAGAGGACACTAAGTAGATAAAAATGTCATTTTAACAAGACTGCCACCTACTGATTGACATAGTTGAAGAACACTCCAATTAAGATTCTTTTTTAATAGGTGTGTGGTTTTAATTTTTTTTAAAAAAATAGATGCTTTTAAATTCTTTATATGTATTGTTTAAATTGCATTTTAGGAATGCGATCAAGTCCATATAGACGATGTTTCTTCAGATGATAATGGACAAGACCTTAGGTGAGCACACTGAAATGTGATGTGGTCATCTTCCTTTTATAGTTTGATTGCTCAGCTAATTAAGAAGAACTTTCTGTTCAGTTAACTTTGGGCTTTTCTTGCATCTAAATAGCACATATAACTTTGGAACAGATGGCTTTCCTGCTGCAGCAACCAGTGCTAATTTATGCCTGGCAACTGGTGTACGGGGCGGAGTGGACTGGATGAGAAAGTTGGCCTTTCGCTACAGACGAGTAAAAGAGATCTACAACACCTACAAAAATAATGTTGGAGGCAAGTGACTATTGTCAATATCTGTAGGTTAGGTAAGACAGACTAGATAAAATTCTAAAATGTGACTCATACTTTTACATTACACCATTTTGTATACAATAGTATTTTTTTTAGGGCAGTTTCATCTAACCAGCAATTACTCTGCCATGATTTAGTGACAGAAATATTAGACCAGAGCCAGCTGTTCTAGCTAGTCTAGTCTTGCCCTGGATCTGTTACTCAGTGGCGTGACCTGGGGCAAGTTTCTTGACCTCTTTAACATTCAGTTGTCCTTCCAACTAAAGGGGATTAGCAACCCTTTCCCAAATCAGGAGATGGATTGTTAAACTCCCTCTGCTGGGTAGATGCTTATATTGGTTTGGATCTCTTGATTGTGTTTCAAAATGGCTTCAATGCAAAAGGGAATATATATGTTGGCCATAATGAAAAGTTGAAGGGTGACAGTTTCCAGTATGACTATATCCAGATGCTCAAATGATGCCATCAGGAAAGACTGTGCTTTCTTGGGGTGGATCATTCTAGGACAGTCCCTCCCAAGGGGTGTCAAAATGACAGGTAGCTCTGTGTTCATATTTTACCAGTTAAACACCTCCATTAGGGGAAGGAGATACATCTTT